ACCGACTATGTCAACTTCTCCTATTGAAGACATAGGTCTCCACTGATGTCACAACACCCCTGATTTCTTGGTTGGTGGTGGTAGAATGAGACATACCGACCTTGTCGGCTCCTCCTTTTGAAGACATACGTCTCCACTGATGTTATAACACCCCTGACTTCCTGGTTGGTGGTGGTAGAATGGTGACAAACCAACTATGTCAGCTCCACATATTGAAGACATAGGTCTCCACTGATATCATAACACCCCTGACTTCCTGGTTGGTGGTGGTAGAATGGTGACAAACCGACTATGTCAGCTTCTCCTATTGAAGACATAGGTCTCCACTGATGTCACAACACCCTTGACTTCTTGGTTGGTGGTGGTAAAAGGGTGACGAACCGACTATGTCAGCTTCTCCTATTGAAGACATAGGTCTCAACTGATGTCACAACACCCCTGACTTCTTGGTTGGTGGTGGTAGAATGGTGACAAACCAACTATGTCAACTTCTCCTATTGAAGACATAGGTCTCCACTGATGTTATAACACCCCTGACTTCTTGGTTGGTGGTGGTAGAATGGTGACAAACCAACTATGTCAGCTTCTCCTATTGAAGACATAGGTCTCCACTGTGTCACAACACCCCTGACTTCTTGGGTGGTGGTGGTAGAATGGTGACAAACCAACTATGTCAACTTCTCCTATTGAAGACATAGGTCTCCCCTGATGTCACAACACCCTTGACTTCTTGGTTGGTGGTGGTAGAATGGTGACAAACCAACTATGTCAGCTCCACATATGGAAGACATAGGTCTCCCCTGATGTCACAACACCCCTGACTTCTTGGTTGGTGGTGGTAGAATGTAGACAAACCGACTATGTCAACTTCTCCTATTGAAGACATAGGTCTCCCCTGATGTCACAACACCCTTGACTTCTTGGTTGGTGGTGGTAGAATGGTGACAAACCAACTATGTCAGCTCCACATATTGAAGACATAGGTCTCCCCTGATGTCACAACACCCCTGACTTCTTGGTTGGTGGTGGTAGAATGGTGACAAACCGACTATGTCAACTTCTCCTATTGAAGACATAGGTCTCCACTGATGTCACAACACCCCTGATTTCTTGGTTGGTGGTGGTAGAATGAGACATACCGACCTTGTCGGCTCCTCCTTTTGAAGACATACGTCTCCACTGATGTTATAACACCCCTGACTTCCTGGTTGGTGGTGGTAGAATGGTGACAAACCAACTATGTCAGCTCCACATATTGAAGACATAGGTCTCCACTGATATCATAACACCCCTGACTTCCTGGTTGGTGGTGGTAGAATGGTGACAAACCGACCTTGTCAGCTTCTCCTATTGAAGACATAGGTCTCCACTGATGTCACAACACCCTTGACTTCTTGGTTGGTTGTGGTAAAAGGGTGACGAACCGACTATGTCAGCTTCTCCTATTGAAGACATAGGTCTCAACTGATGTCACAACACCCCTGACTTCTTGGTTGGTGGTGGTAGAATGGTGACAAACCAACTATGTCAACTTCTCCTATTGAAGACATAGGTCTCCACTGATGTTATAACACCCCTGACTTCTTGGTTGGTGGTGGTAGAATGGTGACAAACCAACTATGTCAGCTTCTCCTATTGAAGACATAGGTCTCCACTGTGTCACAACACCCCTGACTTCCTGGTTGGTGGTTGTAGAATGGTGACAAACCAACTATGTCAACTTCTCCTATTGAAGACATAGGTCTCCCCTGATGTCACAACACCCTTGACTTCTTGGTTGGTGGTGGTAGAATGGTGACAAACCAACTATGTCAGCTCCACATATGGAAGACATAGGTCTCCCCTGATGTCACAACACCCCTGACTTCTTGGTTGGTGGTGGTAGAATGGTGACAAACCGACTATGTCAACTTCTCCTATTGAAGACATAGGTCTCCCCTGATGTCACAACACCCTTGACTTCTTGGTTGGTGGTGGTAGAATGGTGACAAACCAACTATGTCAGCTCCACATATTGAAGACATAGGTCTCCCCTGATGTCACAACACCCCTGACTTCTTGGTTGGTGGTGGTAGAATGGTGACAAACCGACTATGTCAACTTCTCCTATTGAAGACATAGGTCTCCATTGATGTCACAACACCCCTGATTTCTTGGTTGGTGGTGGTAGAATGAGACATACCGACCTTGTCGGCTCCTCCTTTTGAAGACATACGTCTCCACTGATGTTATAACACCCCTGACTTCCTGGTTGGTGGTGGTAGAATGGTGACAAACCAACTATGTCAGCTCCACATATTGAAGACATAGGTCTCCACTGATGTCACAACACCCTTGACTTCTTGGTTGGTTGTGGTAAAAGGGTGACGAACCGACTATGTCAGCTTCTCCTATTGAAGACATAGGTCTCAACTGATGTCACAACACCCCTGACTTCTTGGTTGGTGGTGGTAGAATGGTGACAAACCAACTATGTCAACTTCTCCTATTGAAGACATAGGTCTCCACTGATGTTATAACACCCCTGACTTCTTGGTTGGTGGTGGTAGAATGGTGACAAACCAACTATGTCAGCTTCTCCTATTGAAGACATAGGTCTCAACTGTGTCACAACACCCCTGACTTCTTGGTTGGTGGTGGTAGAATGGTGACAAACCAACTATGTCAACTTCTCCTATTGAAGACATAGGTCTCCACTGATGTTATAACACCCCTGACTTCTTGGTTGGTGGTGGTAGAATGTGACAAACCAACTATGTCAACTTCTCCTATTGAAGACATACGTCTCCACTGATGTCACAACACCCCTGACTTCTTGGTTGGTGGTGGTAGAATGGTGACAAACCGACTATGTCAACTTCTCCTATTGAAGACATAGGTCTCAACTGATGTCACAACACCCCTGACTTCTTGGTTGGTGGTGGTAGAATGGTGACAAACCAACTATGTCAACTTCTCCTATTGAAGACATAGGTCTCCACTGATGTTATAACACCCCTGACTTCTTGGTTGGTGGTGGTAGAATGTGACAAACCAAATATGTCAACTTCTCCTATTGAAGACATAGGTCTCCACTGATGTCACAACACCCCTGACTTCTTGGTTGGTGGTGGTAGAATGGTGACAAACCGACTATGTCAGCTTCTCCTATTGAAGACATAGGTCTCCACTGATGTCACAACACCCTTGACTTCTTGGTTGGTGGTGGTAGAATGGTGACAAACCGACCTTGTCAGCTTCTCCTATTGAAGACATAGGTCTCCACTGATGTCACAACACCCCTGACTTCTTGGTTGGTGGTGGTAGAATGGTGACAAACCGACTATGTCAACTTCTCCTATTGAAGACATAGGTCTCCCCTGATGTCACAACACCCCTGACTTCTTGGTTGGTGGTGGTAGAATGTGACAAACCAACTATGTCAACTTCTCCTATTGAAGACATAGGTCTCCACTGATGTCACAACACCCCTGACTTCTTGGTTGGTGGTGGTAGAATGGTGACAAACCGACTATGTCAGCTTCTCCTATTGAAGACATAGGTCTCCACTGATGTCACAACACCCCTGACTTCTTGGTTGGTGGTGGTAGAATGGTGACAAACCAACTATGTCAGCTCCACATATTGAAGACATAGGTCTCCACTGATGTCACAACACCCCTGACTTCTTGGTTGGTGGTGGTAGAATGGTGACAAACCGACTATGTCAACTTCTCCTATTGAAGACATAGGTCTCCCCTGATGTCACAACACCCTTGACTTCTTGGTTGGTGGTGGTAGAATGGTGACAAACCAACTATGTCAGCTCCACATATTGAAGACATAGGTCTCCCCTGATGTCACAACACCCCTGACTTCTTGGTTGGTGGTGGTAGAATGGTGACAAACCGACTATGTCAACTTCTCCTATTGAAGACATAGGTCTCCACTGATGTCACAACACCCCTGATTTCTTGGTTGGTGGTGGTAGAATGAGACATACCGACCTTGTCGGCTCCTCCTTTTGAAGACATACGTCTCCACTGATGTTATAACACCCCTGACTTCCTGGTTGGTGGTGGTAGAATGGTGACAAACCAACTATGTCAGCTCCACATATTGAAGACATAGGTCTCCACTGATATCATAACACCCCTGACTTCCTGGTTGGTGGTGGTAGAATGGTGACAAACCGACCTTGTCAGCTTCTCCTATTGAAGACATAGGTCTCCACTGATGTCACAACACCCTTGACTTCTTGGTTGGTGGTGGTAGAATGGTGACAAACCAACTATGTCAGCTCCACATATTGAAGACATAGGTCTCCCCTGATGTCACAACACCCCTGACTTCCTGGTTGGTGGTGGTAGAATGGTGACAAACCGACTATGTCAACTTCTCCTATTGAAGACATAGGTCTCCACTGATGTCACAACACCCCTGACTTCTTGGTTGGTGGTGGTAGAATGTGACAAACCAACTATGTCAACTTCTCCTATTGAAGACATAGGTCTCCACTGATGTCACAACACCCCTGACTTCTTGGTTGGTGGTGGTAGAATGGTGACAAACCGACTATGTCAGCTTCTCCTATTGAAGACATAGGTCTCCACTGATGTCACAACACCCTTGACTTCTTGGTTGGTGGTGGTAGAATGGTGACAAACCGACCTTGTCAGCTTCTCCTATTGAAGACATAGGTCTCCACTGATGTCACAACACCCCTGACTTCTTGGTTGGTGGTGGTAGAATGGTGACAAACCAACTATGTCAGCTCCACATATTGAAGACATAGGTCTCCACTGATGTCACAACACCCCTGACTTCTTGGTTGGTGGTGGTAGAATGGTGACAAACCGACTATGTCAACTTCTCCTATTGAAGACATAGGTCTCCCCTGATGTCACAACACCCTTGACTTCTTGGTTGGTGGTGGTAGAATGGTGACAAACCAACTATGTCAGCTCCACATATTGAAGACATAGGTCTCCCCTGATGTCACAACACCCCTGACTTCTTGGTTGGTGGTGATAGAATGGTGACAAACCGACTATGTCAACTTCTCCTATTGAAGACATAGGTCTCCACTGATGTCACAACACCCCTGATTTCTTGGTTGGTGGTGGTAGAATGAGACATACCGACCTTGTCGGCTCCTCCTTTTGAAGACATACGTCTCCACTGATGTTATAACACCCCTGACTTCCTGGTTGGTGGTGGTAGAATGGTGACAAACCAACTATGTCAGCTCCACATATTGAAGACATAGGTCTCCCCTGATGTCACAACACCCCTGACTTCTTGGTTGGTGGTGGTAGAATGGTGACAAACCGACTATGTCAACTTCTCCTATTGAAGACATAGGTCTCCACTGATGTCACAACACCCCTGATTTCTTGGTTGGTGGTGGTAGAATGAGACATACCGACCTTGTCGGCTCCTCCTTTTGAAGACATACGTCTCCACTGATGTTATAACACCCCTGACTTCCTGGTTGGTGGTGGTAGAATGGTGACAAACCAACTATGTCAGCTCCACATATTGAAGACATAGGTCTCAACTGATATCATAACACCCCTGACTTCCTGGTTGGTGGTGGTAGAATGGTGACAAACCGACCTTGTCAGCTTCTCCTATTGAAGACATAGGTCTCCACTGATGTCACAACACCCTTGACTTCTTGGTTGGTGGTGGTAGAATGGTGACAAACCAACTATGTCAGCTCCACATATTGAAGACATAGGTCTCCCCTGATGTCACAACACCCCTGACTTCCTGGTTGGTGGTGGTAGAATGGTGACAAACCGACTATGTCAACTTCTCCTATTGAAGACATAGGTCTCCACTGATGTCACAACACCCCTGATTTCTTGGTTGGTGGTGGTAGAATGAGACATACCGACCTTGTCGGCTCCTCCTTTTGAAGACATACGTCTCCACTGATGTTATAACACCCCTGACTTCCTGGTTGGTGGTGGTAGAATGGTGACAAACCAACTATGTCAGCTCCACATATTGAAGACATAGGTCTCCACTGATATCATAACACCCCTGACTTCCTGGTTGGTGGTGGTAGAATGGTGACAAACCGACCTTGTCAGCTTCTCCTATTGAAGACATAGGTCTCCACTGATGTCACAACACCCTTGACTTCTTGGTTGGTTGTGGTAAAAGGGTGACGAACCGACTATGTCAGCTTCTCCTATTGAAGACATAGGTCTCAACTGATGTCACAACACCCCTGACTTCTTGGTTGGTGGTGGTAGAATGGTGACAAACCAACTATGTCAACTTCTCCTATTGAAGACATAGGTCTCCACTGATGTTATAACACCCCTGACTTCTTGGTTGGTGGTGGTAGAATGGTGACAAACCAACTATGTCAGCTTCTCCTATTGAAGACATAGGTCTCAACTGTGTCACAACACCCCTGACTTCTTGGTTGGTGGTGGTAGAATGGTGACAAACCAACTATGTCAACTTCTCCTATTGAAGACATAGGTCTCCACTGATGTTATAACACCCCTGACTTCTTGGTTGGTGGTGGTAGAATGTGACAAACCGACTATGTCAACTTCTCCTATTGAAGACATAGGTCTCAACTGATGTCACAACACCCCTGACTTCTTGGTTGGTGGTGGTAGAATGGTGACAAACCAACTATGTCAACTTCTCCTATTGAAGACATAGGTCTCCACTGATGTTATAACACCCCTGACTTCTTGGTTGGTGGTGGTAGAATGTGACAAACCAACTATGTTAACTTCTCCTATTGAAGACATAGGTCTCCACTGATGTCACAACACCCCTGACTTCTTGGTTGGTGGTGGTAGAATGGTGACAAACCGACTATGTCAACTTCTCCTATTGAAGACATAGGTCTCCACTGATGTCACAACACCCCTGACTTCTTGGTTGGTGGTGGTAGAATGGTGACAAACCGACTATGTCAGCTCCACATATTGAAGACATAGGTCTCCACTGATGTCACAACACCCCTGACTTCTTGGTTGGTGGTGGTAGAATGGTGACAAACCGACTATGTCAGCTTCTCCTATTGAAGACATAGGTCTCCACTGATGTCATAACACCCCTCACTTCTTGGTTTTGTCATGGTAATGGTGGTAGAATGTGACAAACTGACTATGTCGGTACCCTGTTCGATTTAGAGTACATTTTTCATGTTTGTGTATTTTCTAATTATCTCAGGGCTGGGGGCTGGATAGAAATAACTGTTATTAGACACACTAGTTGTTGTAGCAGCATTAGAAATTGACACTAGATATAGTACTTACCATCTGCGGAATAGTTAAGGTTTCTTAAATTAAGGACAAGTAGAAATTTGCCCTTTTTGAGGGTTTTGTTATGTGTTATCATTATAAGGACTAGTGGACTAAAACTGTTAGTTTTTATCATTGCATGGGAACCATTGAATTGATAAGATTCCTCAATACATGGAAAGTACTGCTTCAGATATTCTAGTTTAGGAATCTACAGCCAGTATGTCATTGGCTTCTCATCTAGGATGTTGACAAGGATCTATGGTGGCAGAGCAAATACTTTATTCATGATATCGAATTATCCGTTTTGTGTATCTCTATTAACCCAGCTATTGAGACTTGTTGTGACCTATGTGAGTGACTGTCACATGACTGTCACCTGTGTCACTGTGATGTTGCAGACAAGAGGTTACGTGACCAAGAGTCAGCTGGAGAAGGAGTTGAAGTGGGAGGAGGAACGAGCTCGGCGGGCGCTGGTATGTATGTGGGTGCAGGGGGTGATTAACGGGAGTGGCCGGAAACCTTTAATTGTGATCCCACAGTCTAACCCACAGAACCCGATTTCTGTGAACCTGTGTGACTGTGGCACCACATAACCCTATTACTGTGAACCTGTGTGACTGTGGCACCACATAACCCTATTACTGTGAACCTGTGTGACTGTGGCACCACATAACCCTATTACTGTGAACCTGTGTGACTGTGGCACCACATAACCCTATTACTGTAAACCAGTGTGACTGTGGCACCACATAACCCTATTACTGTAAACCAGTGTGACTGTGGCCCTACAGACTCCTATAACTGTGAACCTCTGTGACTGTGGCCCTACAGACTCCTATTACTGTGAACCTGTGTGACTGTGGTACCACATAACCCTATTACTGTGAACCAGTACTGTAGGCATGTTCATAAGTGACATTTTGCAAGGCTTTATAATATATTCATCATAATCATTATAATTGTTTAGTTTAATCCTATTTATCAAAGACCCCAATTTTGTTGATGCAAATGTCATGAAACATAAGCAATGCTAATACAGTGATGTCATAGCATTCCAACTGTTTTAGTACATGTAGAAAAAGATTGATATGGAAGGTTGCTGGTACCTTTTTGTATGTACAAGGACAACAAATATTATGGGTTTTCAGATTTGCAAATATCAAATAGTTTTGCATTTGAAACTCTGTCCAGAAGTCCAGGCACTGAGTACTCAATTACATCTGCATTTCTGAAAACTGATAGACTATTAATCTTCTAATTGACTAAACAGTGTTCCTCTTCTTTTCTATGACAGGACTTCATGGTGAAGGAGGGGTTGGCCTGGGTGGATGATTTCCCTGGGGGCGAGCGCCACTTCTGGTTTCCTAGTCTCTTCCCAGCGTGCACTGCCACATGATCACAAATTGAAGATGTGGAGGAAACATGCCATGTTACAAATAGAAAACTGTCACTTAAGTGTATGCAGAATGTTGAGTTTTTGTTGGAAACCATCAGGGTACAGACAGACAGACAGACAGACAGACAGACAGACAGTCAAGAGTGCAACCTGCCCGGCAATTGACTGTAAAAGTCTTGTTTCCACCCTTGCCAAACTAGGCTGGAATTAGGGAGTTATGTTGTGGCTGGTCTTACGAGTCTATGCATAGTCCAGTCAAGTTTGCGTAATCATCATCCAGTTCTCGATGTCAACAGATATTTTTCAATATCCTTGCATGTTTTTAATCAAGATCGTCTTGACGAGGCGCCGCAATTTTGTTTGAAGTAAATGCAAGCGAGGTGGAATCTGATTTGTCAGTAGGAGGGACATAGAAGGGACATAACTCATAACAGCGGATCAAGCCCAGAAATTCCAGCCTAGTTCGACAAGGGTGGAAACTGGACTTTTAAAGTCAGTAAACTCCCTTGCCTGAGGAAGAAGACATCTCAGTTGTGTTTAAATTTCAGTATTTTTTAGATGGATAGTTAATGATTTATTTTATCTCCTGATCAGCTTGATATCAGTCTGTGTTGAGTAGTACGCCTATTCCCCTGCCTATTCCCTTGCAGTGAAGACGGAGATAATTCTCAAACAAACATACTGTCTGGTATTAAGCTGACCACAGTTTCTGTTTGTACTGAAAGCAAAATTGAGTATTTTCGGAATTTCAGTTCTTGCTATATATTATCTGTTCACCGTGTTTCAAAGACCTTATGGTGCAACTTCTAATGCAATGTGACACTTAATACCACGGGAATAACAAAAGCCATGCTTGTGGAGATCGACTTATTAGAACCTGAAGCGCCTGTAAAATATGTCTTGCACGTACTGTGATTCAACTGTACATGGAGACTTGGTAGTTAACGATGTACTTGAGTGAGTATAAATTTGCCGCCTAATCATGAACGTGGAATAGGTGTTGAGGTTTTTGGTGTACTTCTAATAAGATAAATGTTTGTCGCACTGTATTTCCGTGTAGATGTTGTTAGAGTATATTTTGAGTTATTTGAGTCAAGTTTGTTGGTACGTTAAATGTGATATATGCCCTTACGGTACATATTGGTCGAATGTTTTACTTTCATCAGGGTGACCGGCGCCTTAATCTGGGTAAAGAAAATAATTATCGTCTGAATACCAGAAGGGGCAAAGATGTCCCAGTGTAGAATATCTAGTCATTCACTGAAACTTGTTGTGACAGTTACATGACACCCTGTGTTGGTTTCTCCCATGATTAAGTAATAAATTATTAATTACACAGCTATGAAATATATTGTGTTATCTATCCCCTGACGTCTGGTGTACGAAGATGACTCATCCCTGCCCGTGTGATGAGGACAATGTTACATAGTGTGAATGTTGTATGTCGCCTCGGTTTAATGTGCGGGGAAGACAGACCTCAGTCAGGGGAACTCTCTACCCCAAATCCAGCGGATCCGTGCACCGATAAGGAAAGCAACTTCGACAGACCACTGGGTCCAACGAGTTCAGCTCTTGGATATACGATCTGAGGACATAGTAACCCTTATCAGTGTGAAAATGGGTCTATAGCTTGCTGGCTCCATTTCCTACTTATGGTACCTCGTCTGAGGGAGTGGGGTCACGATGCTTGATTTGGCGGACTGCGTTTCACCCCAACCCCCGAATTATTTTGTGAAATTTTAAAAGTTTTAAACAAAACTATATTTAGAACAAGACGTAGAAGTATTATTTGAGAGCTGACCAAACGCCATTATAGTTCATCTTTTATATAACATCCACAACTTAGGATATTTTCAAATGAAAATCATACATATGATAAAATCAACTAATGGTATAGTTTCTTTTGCTTCTCGGTTAAGTTTGGCGTGAGGCCTTAGTTTACGCTTCGTTACAATCTCTAACAAATAAGATTTTAGCAAATATGACTGATAAGCTGGTACCAGTTGACCGTGGTATAGCTGGCTGTGGGGTTAAACGGTCATCAATTGTCATGTCATGTTTCAAAGGATTTAATACACATTTTATTTATGTTTGAATGAAACATTCCTTTCTCGCTTCTTCAAGATTCTTCACGACGCACTTCCTGAGAGCAACATGCGCTCACAACATTGTTCCTGTCTGGGGTTGAACTGCTCATTGCTAGTATCACGGGACACCGGGGCAAGGCTGTTCAGCATTAAAAGAGTGTGTGCTGAGCAGATGAAATCTATCAACATTCTACTGGAACACGCCAAGTGATACCACCTCAGTCGTGGAACCAACATCTTTACCCCCATACAAACACATAGCTGCGTCAGCATCGCCATCAGATATGTTTGAAATCTCCGTCACCATGACGTGTATCTTCGATTTCCATGTGCCTAATACTTGAATACAATTGTGCACGTTGCCCTTATCTTTTTCAAAAATAGAGTCAGCCTGAGATCGCGAAGTACCTGGTTTAACAACTTTGGTCTTATTAGTTTTAGGTCATAGCTTTGATAAGGATTGGCTTATGTCAAAAGAGGAACTTGCAAAAAGACCTCGGTGCACCAGATGTTCAATCGCTCGCTTTGAGAAGGGAATGCTTGATACTGAATGAAACTTCGAACGAAAATTGATTTCTTATATAACATTGTCAATCTAGACCCAAGCACCAGCCAATGAGAACAAAACTGAAGTTAAACCCACGTTGGCTTGGGCCCTGAGGGGATCGATTGTATCACGCTGAAGTGTCTTTTAAGGAGATTATTCAATATTGGAGGAAAGAGTTTTTCGTTTCAGTAAATTTCAAGTTTGTTCTTTTTTTATTTGTCATGAAATACATCTAATGTACATGTATTCTGCGAACCATATCTAGTTTTAGACAATAAATTTATAACGTTTTAGATGTCTCTAACTTGGAGTCAGTGAATGCTGCTTATCACATGTGACACAGCATAGTGGTTTCTCCCTTGAATTCAGCGATGACATCGTCCCGTAAATGACCGAACCTGGGCAAGGACAACCTGTGATTGAAAACATTAGCAACGCTCACTCGGCCAAGTTCACAGCGACTAACGGGATTTTCACCAAATTACGAAAAAGCTGCAGTCGAACTTCGTGGTGTCAAACTTGAATGTGTCGAATTCCCGGTTGTCTTGAACTCATTTGGGAGTCCTAAATATCTACATTAAGCATACAATTCCCTTGATGTCTCGAACCCCGAGTAACTCGAACTTTTTTCCAGGAAAAAATCCAATGCAGTTTGCAGTATGTCTCTGTAAGACGCGTCCTAGAGAGTCCTGGTGTCACTCATGGTGTTATGTTGAAGTGATGTGTGGGTCCTAGACGGCATGGGAGGAGGGAAGGGGGGTTGTTAAGGTGAGCAGTACCACAATCAGGGTTCACGATATCTCCTATTCTATCTTAATCGAGTTCGGCAGTAGGTCTTGGGTATCAGCCCTCAATACCTCCTTCTACACTGCAGTTGTAACAGAGTCGGAGTCAGAGAATGTACTGGCGACACGCAACTCCTCTATCACATTCCATCATATAGGTACGTCTATAGTCAAGACATCATAGACCTCAGACTTCAACACACCCTGTCTGCAAGCGCCTTTCAGAAAGAAAATTATTCTGAACGCTGCGAAGGTGACCTACGTAAATAATGCTAGATACATTGTAGAATATTCAGATGAAAAAATACAATGGTTTACAGGATTTGAAGGAACATAAGTTCTTCAGCGCCTCACGACTTCAATATTGCGTTAAACTGTGTAACATTGACATAAGGAGGGAAATTGTCGACGACACACAAGCGGTATTTATGAGGTAAACCGCTTCCAGTACATCCAGTTACCTCGCTGGATATTTTTAAGCTGGACCTTCACCCAACCAGTGGCCGTACCTTGTCACCATTGTGACCATCGAATCCACATTTTATTGGAATGAGTGAATAACATTCAGTCAGGTTGTACCACCTGATCCTCACTAGTCGACTCATGAGCAAGGGAAACCTTGAGGGGGGTTACCGAAGAGGGCTATGCAGCTATGGCAGCGAATGGGTCCAGGTATTTATCCTAAGACGGAATGAAGATATAATGCATCTGGCAGGAAGCGCTGTGTCAGCACCCCCATCTAAAGTTGATGGATGCTTTCCTTCCACGCCGTCGTCATTTCCAGATCTGAGACAACTCGCGCCTCCGTTTTGTTACAACGAGGCGAAGTGAGAGAAAGTGTTCTTGTTTTAAACCCGTGGTGTTTGTAGTCAGGGCATAGGATGAGGCGGTCACAGAATGAGGTCCATCTACAAAGGACTCGCTGAGAAAGCAATATGGAGACACCCAGTTGTGTACCTAGGTTTATCGGTGACAGTCATTGCGAGATGCAATCAAGGTAGTTTCATCCCTGGCTATTGTCAACTGTTAGTACACGGGTGATGACATTCACGTCCCAATGTGCTCATCAAAACACTGATTGTTCTCATAGAAAAGTCTGACTTGCGTTGCAGACCAGTAATGGTCCTTGAGGGCGATGCACTAAGGAAAGACTGGGATCACATCTTTACACTGTATCCCTTACAAACTGTGTGTTTTACCTGTAGGGATGAGGTGGTCACATCTATACACTGTATCCCTCACAAACTGTGTGTTTCACCTCTAGGGATGAGTTGGTCACATCTATACACTGTATCCCTTACAAACTGTGTGTTTCACCTCTAGGGATGAGGTGGTCACATCTATACACTGTATCCCTTACAAACTGTGTGTTTCACCTCTAGGGATGAGGTGGTCACATCTATACACTGTATCCCTTACAAACTGTGTGTTTCACCTCTAGGGATGAGGTGGTCAAATCTATACACTGTATCCCTCACAAACTGTGTGTTTCACCGCTAGGGATGAGGTGGTCACATCTATACACTGTATCCCTCACAAACTGTGTGTTTCACCTCTAGGGATGAGTTGGTCACATCTATACACTGTATCCCTTACAAACTGTGTGTTTCACCTCTAGGGATGAGGTGGTCACATCTATACACTGTATCCCTTACAAACTGTGTGTTTCACCTCTAGGGATGAGTTGGTCACATCTATACACTGTATCCCTTACAAACTGTGTGTTTCACCTCTAGGGATGAGGTGGTCACATCTATACACTGTATCCCTCACAAACTGTGTGTTTCACCTCCAGGGATGAGGTGGTCACATCTATACACTGTATCCCTTACAAACTGTGTGTTTCACCTCTAGGGATGAGGTGGTCACATCTATACACTGTATCCCTTACAAACTGTGTGTTTCACCTCTAGGGATGAGTTGGTCACATCTATACACTGTATCCCTTACAAACTGTGTGTTTCACCTCCAGGGATGAGGTGGTCACATCTATACACTGTATCCCTTACAAACTGTGTGTTTCACCTCTAGGGATGAGGTGGTCACATCTTTACACTGTATCCCTTATTATCCGTTACAAACTGTGTGTTTCGTCTCTTGTGGTGAGGTGGCCACATCTATACACTGTATCCCTTACAAACTGTGTGTTTCACCTCCAGGGATGAGGTGGTCACATCTATACACTGTATCCCTTACAAACTGTGTGTTTCACCTCTAGGGATGAGGTGGTCTCATCTTTACACTGTATCCCTTACAACTGTGTGTTTCACCTCTAGGGATGAGGTGGTCACATCTATACACTGTATCCCTTACAAACTGTGTGTTTCACCTCTAGGGATGAGGTGGTCACATCTATACACTGTATCCCTTACAAACTGTGTGTTTCACCTCTAGGGATGAGGTGGGTCACATCTTTACACTGTGTCCCTGACAAAATGCGTGTTTCACCTCTAGGGATGAGGTGGCCACATCTTTACACTGTATCCCTTACAAACTGTGTGTTTCACCTCTAGGGATGAGGTGGTCACATCTTTACACTGTATCCCTTATTATCCCTTACAAACTGTGTTTCACCTCTAGGGATGAGGTGGGTCACATCTTTACACTGTGTCCCTGACAAAATGCGTGTTTCACCTCTAGGGATGAGGTGGCCACATCTTTACACTGTATCCCTCACAAACTGTGTGTTTCACCTCTAGGGATGAGGTGGTCACATCTTTACACTGTATCCCTCACAAACTGTGTGTTTCACCTCTAGGGATGAGGTGGCCACATCTTTACACTGTATCCCTCACAAACTGTGTGTTTCACCTCTAGGGATGAGTTGGTCACATCTATACACTGTATCCCTTACAAACTGTGTGTTTCACCTCTAGGGATGAGTTGGTCACATCTATACAGTGTATCCCTCACAAATGTGTGT